GAGTACAATAGGGAAGAAGCTGGCTTGTGTATTAATTTGGCGCTCATGTGCTTGCAGAAGATGCCCGAGTTGAGGCCCGACATTGGGGACGTTGTCAGGGTTCTCAAGGGCGAAATGGAGATTCCGTACCGGCCGTTTGAGTTCTCACCTTCGCCTCCTTCGAGGCTTTTAAGCAGCTCAAGAAATGGCGGTTTAGATTATTAGTTTAAGTTTTCTTTCCTTTATTTTATTTTTTCTTTTATATTTGCTTGTTTGATATGGTTTGGTGTGTGTCTTATGTATATATTTTTGGGTGTAAATTGGATTATGGCGGGGTTTTTGTTGTCCACTGTCCAGTTGATTTAGCTTAAAATGGATTGAAATTCAGTTTGATTCAGATTTTCTCTTCTAATACAAGAAACTAATCAACATATATGATTCAATAAGGATGAAAGCCAAAACTGCAAATTTGATTTAGGGTTCAAAATTCGAAAAATCAATGTATATAGAGAATATATGTATATAGAACAGTTGCTAAATTTCAGGCATAGTTTTTCAACCGGATCGGCCCGGTGGGTTGACCCGGAGTTAGAATCGGTCCGAGTGGGCTAATCGGACAAGACAACAACGGACTCGGTCAAACTCGGCCAAAACCCGCCCAACCCGGCCTTGACCCGGTCGACCCGGAGCATTGACTCGGCTGGGTCAACCTGGTTGACCAGACCCCTATATATATATACTTTCTTTTTAAATGTTTTTTGTTTTTAACAAGTAAAACTATGTATATATATTTATATGGTAAAAATTTCATGAAGTACATATTATTAACATTTAAAAAAAAGTAATGTACAAACCTTATATACAAAATATTTAATTTTGTACTTTTATACTTATTTATATGATAAAATATTCTATATATAATTTAAAATATTTTAAATTAATTATTCGATTGAGCAATTGACCTAGTGACCTGACAGTTGAGCCGGTGTTCCGATGACCCAAAGACCTGTCCGAGTCTATTCCCGAATGGGTTTAAAAACTATGATTTCAGGATAGTAATTGTAACTTTTCTGAACTTAATCCAAACACAGCAATCCCTTCAGGACTTTCGCTCCCCAATTTCCAAAATTCTAACCATTGACAAATCCTTCAACAAAGGGTGCAGATTTTCTATCGAGCTAGAATCCAATAGGGACAGACTAATTATGTTGAAGGATTGAAGATTCTACGCAAGAAATAGTTGGGGGGGAACTTATTATAAAAAATAGTCCACCCTCGTCTGATCCAAGACAAGACACATATAATCAAGGGATTTGTTGTCGTTTGTTTATTAGCCAAAATTATAAAATATACTCGTTAACTTGGGGTAGATACAAAAGTTGTCCGGTAATTTTGGTGAGTTGGCTAGGTTTTGGAGCTTTACTGGAGGACTTTTGGCACCACTGGTTTTTATAAGGAATTTTGATAGACACGACTAAAATTAACTAATATATCAAACATTACAGTCAATCAAATCCAAAATCAACCAACATGGGTTGGCTCAAGTGGTAAGCAGCTTGATATCGCTTAAGCAAAGATCTCGGGTTCAAGTCTTTGTGAATGCAGAAAACCCTTGTTGGGAGACTCACCCACCACTGTCAGGTGTGCGACCCGGGTCGACCAACGGATTAGTCGGAGCAAAACTCCGGATACCATGGCTGGCTACCAAAAAAAAAAAAAATCCAAAACCAATATCTTTTTCTCTAATAATGTCGACTTACAAGAGCAACAGGCCCTATCGACTATGTTGGGGTACACTTTGGTGGAGGATCTCAGCTATTACCTGGGAGTCCCTATTATTCACGGCAGGGTCACGAGTCATACTGTAACACCCCAGTTTGATTTTGAAGAAATTTCGAACTTTCTAAAAATCAGTAAATAATTTTTCGAACTCATTTTGGAAAACATGGGCGTTATTCAAACATTTAACATCAACCAAGTCATATCTGGTTGCTCGGGTATTCATTACCCGGTTTTCACATAGTTTTCATTAACCCAATTTTCAACATTCGCACAAGTTATTCAACTCAAACACAATAACATGAAATAACTAGGCAACATGATAACCAATTCAAATAGGTTCATCAAAGTATCCCAAAATCCAACCTTTCCAAGAACATGAGTTTCAAAACGTTTTAACATGTCTCAACCCAAAACAAGGTTCATAAGACTAAAGCATTTATTCATAAGCGGAAGCATAAACATAACCAATAAACCGACCCAGTCGTCTTTCCTCGTCACCCGGCACCTGCTTAACCTGCTTCCGTAAAGAGCAGGTGGGAGTGAGCACAAAATGAAAAGTAGTGCTTACTACTATGCACATATACAACGATAGCATGTTAAGATTGTACAGTCACAAGTATGAACATAGACAATAAATTTTCCCATCTCCTATCCAGAGTCGATTATATCTCATGTGCACACCTATCAGAATAGACTACATTTGGTCCACGTAACGCCTCCCCACGGGAACTCTAACTTTGCCAAAGTAGGAGGGTCATCCGTCAATCCCAAGGGTTTTAGACGGAAATCCACTGTCAACTCCGAGGGTATTAGACAGGTCTGCCAACCCCGAGGGTTTTAGGCAAGAAATCCATCACCGACCAAGGCTCATGCCTAGGTCCTCGCGAAGGACAAAGAGGAGATTATCCATTTGGGCTACGTTTTATAACTATGGGGATACCGTTCGACGGCCGGTACGACTCACGCCGAAAGTTACATATTCACATTTCATACTTTGATCATACCCAAGTAATTAAACAAATTTCTTAATTCAAGGCATAGACAGTTTTATAAGTAAACCCACCTGATCGAAAATAGCAAAGGATAGCACAAGGACAAGTGCAGGCAGCGAGCTCGGCTCGTCA